GATTTGGGCTTGGTGTTGTTGAGTAACCAGGGGGGTGTATTACTGATTTTTGTTGGGCCCAAGAAGCACAAGCCCAGTCAATTTGTTTGGATCCAGTGAGGGCCACGCCTGAGAGTGCACCATGGACCTCTCTTGCATGAGGCATTGGATTTACGAGGAGATTGATCCAATGGATGGATCTTGAGGTGTATGCAAGGCGCTTAGAATGTGAGGCTGTAAGGTCCTGCAACGTTTGTTAAGAAAATAATAAAATATATAGACCTGGGATCAAAACCAGGTCCTTCCAATCACACACTTGCTTGCTTTACCATCTGGGCTGGATGACTCCTCTGTTAGCATAATCAAACAAATACAATATAAAAGAAATAAAGTGATATGCCTCAAGAAGCGCACCGGAATTTCAAACCGGCCAGTGGGAGTTAGCCACGTGATTGTCTCTTTCCTCAGAACAGTTGTTTTAGGTATCAGCCTTTTAACTACGGACAAGATCGTCACTAAAGGCTATAGTGACTGTTTTTGTCCGTAGCTACATCCCTGCAAGATTCAAAACTAAAGTACTAGCAAGATAAATCAGAACCAAAGGCATAGATCAATTGTAAATCGTGCCCTGAGTTCATTGGTACCCACGATTTGGTCTAATTTTGCTTATACGAAGAATCCCTAATTTGAAGCTTTCAAACCCTAGCAATGGCGTAAGTCCGTTCCTGCGCTAAAACTCAAATCCAAGCATTCAAACAGATTCCAAGCATGATTATAAACACATTTATGCAAACAAATTTGATTTAAAACATGTAAAACCAAGAAAACAAATTGAAATCAAAGGGGGATAAACCGTGATCTGTATCTTACGATTCTGGGCATTTAGTGACTTGAGAGTGATTGGAATCGCTTCAGAATACGTCCAGGAACAAATTAGTGGCTTTGGAATTGCTTGAATTGGACTGTAAAGAAAAATCCAGTCTGCACTTTTCTTTGGAAAGTTGAAACTTTGTTTGACTCTTTTGAACCAGCTGCGCCTCTCTAATCTCGTCCTTAGGGTTAAACATGCTCTGTTATATGTATATGAATCAAATAGGTTAACAATTTTGGATTCAATCTTGGAAATTGATGAGCAAGATATTTGATTTTCAAGTCATATTCTTTGTTTCCAAAATTGTCCAAATCATGCCATTTTCAATTCAATCAACCCTTGCACGATTTGTTTGCTAACATACAACCTGTATTCTCATTATTTAATGCAAAATCATCCCAAAATAATTTTATATCATTTATTTGATTTAATTTGGATTTTAAATGATTAAAAATCAAAATAAATCAAATAAACAAGCAAATGATGCATGGAGTGGTTTATGGGTCGTGTACCATATTAGGAACAAGATACAAGCATAAAAAGTTGGGCCCATTTGAAGAAAAATGCATTTTGGGCATTGTTGACTTTGGGCAAATTTCCAAAAATAGCTAACTTTGGCAATGCATATCTCCTTCAATTTTGACCCTAAGAGGAGGTTCTTTGGATTTTTAGAAATATTAATATGTCCTCTAAACAAATCTTTTTGTTTCACCTCAATTGGATCTTCCATGTTCACGTAAGAAGTTTTGATCCAACAAGTGTTTTTGTTGACTTTTTAAAATGACCTGTAATGTCTGAATTCATATCTTTTCATGAGTGAATTTTTTGAACTTGAGGGCTGATTATGAGTTGTAGGAAATTGCATCCTATTCAAAATGAGCCTTGGATGGGAAATTTATGATAAAGTATGAGAAAGTTATGCCTGGTCAAAGTTTGGTTGACTTTTCCTATAGAAACCCTAATTTAGCAACTTTTGAGTTTTGATGAATTTGGGGCATTCCTTGAGGAATCATGGTCAAACCTTGATCAAATGATGGATATTGCTTCCAAATGTTGATGTTACCAAAAATCTTGAAGTTTGACTGTATGTGGGTCACAGTTGACTTTTGACCCAACACAGTTGATTTTCAGGCATTTGAGCAGTTGACTGAGCAAACTTGTTGGGCAAGATATGAGACTTGACATGGATGTTCTTAAGAACATATTAGGACTATGCAAACCATTTAAGACCCTTGGAACTCACCCATCTTGATGAAAATGGAAACCCTAGTTTGAGATTCATTGTCTTAGGAGAGTACTTGTCTAATTAATCCTTGGGCATCCTTGAGCAAGTTGAGGACTTCAATGAGTATGTTTTGAGTAAAATTGGAGGGAAAATTTTGAGGTACAACATATTAAATAGTCTACATCTTTTTGGTTTTTTTTTATTTTTTTATTTTTTTATTTTATATTTTAATTGTTTTAAACTTCAAAAATTCATTTCAACTTCAAAAATTCTCAAAAATTTCTCAAAAATACTTTTGATTTTTCTCTTTTTGATTTATATTTTTTCACAATTTTATTTTGTGATTTGCTATTTTTTTTATGATTTTTCACTTTATTTAACTTTTTTTAATTATTTAAAAATACTTTTCTTGGTTTTTAAATTCTGAAAAAATTATGGAAGGATCCAATGACCTCTTGACAAATATTGGTGATTTCATTTTATTTTTATTTATGATTTTACTATTTTTCACAAACTTTGATGTATTTTGCTTATTTCTTTAAATTTTAAAAATAGTTTCTGACTTAAAAAATTCTGAAAAATTTTCAACACTTATTGACTCATGTTTGACCTCCGACTATTTTTTAAGGATTTTTATTTGGTGTTTTAATATACTTTGTGTATTTTATCAATTATTTCCCTTTTATTAATCATTTTAAATATTGTTTTATTAAGTATTATTTTAAAAAATTTGTTTGGTCCTGATTTGGGTGTTATTTTGGAACAAGTTCCTCAACCTCATTGGATCTTGGGCGTTGATAGATTGAAAAACCAAATCCACCAAAATAGATGAATGATGATGATATTTGAAACTCTAATTTCATCTGATACATTCTCTCCCTCTTCATCTTATCCCTTTCTTACTTGTACTACTTGTTGTTGGAGAATAATCTATATACCATTTCTCTAACATATGATATATAAATTGTTATTTACGACCTCAAAATAGGTGTGACTTCTACATAAGTCCACTTACGATTGCTTAACATAGCGCTATATTTGTCCCGATTTGAAAAATGTCATCCGTGGCCCAAACCTATGTTTGCAAGCCCAATTATGTTTAATTTGAAACCTTTGATCCAATAACCTTGAGGTTCATTGTTAGGAGGCTTTGATCTTATCAATCCTGTAATGAACTTTCATGAATTTTGGTCGAAGTGAGTCATTTAAACATCGTTGATCATATATGCTTGCCTTGAGTACTTGAAATGAATGATATACTTGACAAAAATAAAATGAAACTTATTGTTGAGAAGCTTTGATTTTATCAATCTTCTAATGAGTTTTCAAATGCAAGTTTCAAGATGGTCATTCAACTAACCTCTAACTTTTAATTCACTAACAATTGACTTTACTTTGTGCTTTTACTTTATGCCCTTTATTTTATGCCTTTACTTTTATGCATCATTTACTTAAGCATCTATATTTCATGTTATTTTCATCTTTGCTCACTTGAGCATCTATCTTTATGTCATTTTATCTTTGCTCATTTGAGCATTTATCTTTATGTCATTTTTATTTTGCTCACTTGAGCTTTCTTTTCTTTTTGAAGACACTTAATAACCAACTTGAACATTAAATACTTTAAGGTTACTTGGACTATTTGGTTACTATCCTTGGCATAATAGAGTTATGGACCTCTTAGACTTAGGATTAGAAGCCTTGACTATCCTTGAGACTTTGTGATTCTGTTGTTATTTTGTCTGGAGTTCTTGGGGTTTACTCTAAGATATTGGGTTGATTTTCTTTGTGTGCAGGTTATTCTAGTTATTTGCTTTGTTTGTAATTGAGAATTCCTCTGTGTACAACTATTACTCTGCCCAATTTTTGTGAAGACTTAATTCATCTGAAGCTTGGTATTCCTAAGAGGTTTAGTATTTTTTCTTTCTTGGTTTCAATCTAAAGGATGAGAATTCTACATTGACTCTTTATGTCAAGTGTTGGCTTCTTGTTGGTTAGATCGTTCTTTTCCTTAGCTTTTACCTTATGCTTTAGGATAGTCCCTTCATCTCCTCCCATCTTCTTTAATTTCAAAAATCTTCTCCCTTTTTTTCAAAACTCTTCTTGTTTTCTAACTTGAACCGCTTTCATAATAAACTTGGACTTAGGTCCATGCATTTTTTTAAAATTCTTTTCCTAATCAAACTTTAACCAACTTAATCATATTTTGGCATTTTTTGTGAGAAGACTAAAAGTCAATCAAACTCATTCAAACCATTTTTCTACTTTGGCTTTTTACTTTAAAACTTTTTCTCAAAAAGATTAGACTCTTATCGATTCTTGTAGTGATACGAGCTACTATACTTCTATGATATATAATGAAGTGAGATGTTTTCCACTTGGATGTTGAGTGAGGCTTTATTGGTTTTAAAATCCAAGCTATATCTTCCACTTTGAAATGATGCAAATTCTCCTTTCTCATAATTGTGGGTAGTAAATATGTCTTCCACTCGGATATGACGATGATGTCTTTTCTCTTAAACCAACACACTTGTGTTTTAAATTTTTTGAGGTGAACTACGAGTACCCTAATCCCCTATCGCACTAAGGTGGTATGTAGGCACTAAATATTCACAACTGTGGTGGGTGCAAAATTATAAAAAAATACTTCTTTTCTCATCTGCATCATCTTTTTTTGTATACACCATTTATAGCCAAAATACACAGATTTTCAAAGAGGTTCATGCGGAGTACCGTATATTAATACTTTCCCTTTGCATAACCAACCCCCGTACCTAGATTATCTCCCATTGTTTTTTGGGTTTATTCGCTCTTTTCTCATTTCCTTTGGAAACGATAAAGCGCGGCGCCGATTTTTATTTGATCTGTGCGAATTAAGTCAATTCAATGACTTAGTCTCAATATTTCTACCGCTACAACAGGGTATTACAGAGGAATTATAGAGGATCTTTTGCAAAAGAACAATGGCAGTCCCACTGCTACACCTAAAGAATGCAATTTTAAGAAAGTAGCAACAGTCAGTGATAGGAAACCCAAAAATCGTGACCAAGAAATGAATGGCCCATATAAATAAAAGCTAAGTAGAAATCCAAACAAACCATTGTAGAGACCATGTTAACATAAATAAAAAATAAAATGATGAAGCCAGAGGAGCAGAAGAACAAAATTACCTTGAATAAGAAGAGATATATTCAAACCAAGATAGAGACCAACTAACTCCTTCTTCTCATTAGAGGAGTCAATGTGTTCAGATATTTGTTAACTATCTGAGCTTGACATTACTTCTACAAAAAAATAATAAGACTTGTTTGTAAGAATAAAAAAACCAAAATGCATCAAAGCTGAAACATTTGATAATTGAAAAGTCCCAAAAAAATTGTGGCGATTATATGAAACTCATGAAACTCACGCATCAAGCTTTTCCCATGTATTTGAATTGGTACCCTACACATATATATTGGATAGCATCTTGGTCTCATGCAGAACACAAAGCTTGTTTTTTAGCATCCACAAAAGAAAAAGCAAATCATAAGATAATCTCTACCCACCATAATGTTTGTAATGATAAACTACTCTTTCTAGTGATATTAAAACTCCACAGTCAAGTCAGTAAACACCATTAATACTCACCAAACAAAAATTTCAAATTGAAATAAGAGGAAACAAAGATATAAAGGATTTGAACTGTATTTTAATGTACAATTTGAACTAAAAAAGAGAGAGAATGAAACCAACTTCACTTACGAAACAAAAATAAGAAACAACCATTTCGAATCTGGACGGAGTATGAATCAGGGAGTCTGATTAGGGCGAAGGAATCGAACTTCTCGTACTCGTTGGGCTTGGAAAGGAATAGAGTGATATGTTTGACGGGGATGATCTGACAGTGTCGATGTTGCCACTGACGACGTAACAGATGCCACGAAAGGATGAGGCGACGATGGGTGTGGCTGAATAAGAAGAAGGACTTGCGTGAGCGCGTGTGATTAATGGAGAGATGATGATGCTTTTGCAGAAGGTGGATTGAGATAAAGGAAATGAGGGTTTAGTAGGGGGTGCGAAGGTGAGGTTTTGAGGAACGGTTGCAGTTGCGGAGAAAAACGACAATGTTTTAGAGTTTGAAGTTCGAACTCACTCACTCACTGATTATGGTTCGCTAGCGTAAACCAAATTAGAAGAAATAATCAAAATTGCAGAAGAAGAACAAGAGAGAAGTTTGAAGAAGAGGAAAAGTGAGATGTGCATTGGGAGAGAGAAAGAAGGAAAAGCGTGGCACATGGTATGAGAGAGAGAAAGAATAGTCACAAAATATGCATAGTTAGAAAACCAAATGAATCGTTGCATTGGGGTGTGCTTATTGCAATGAAAATGAAGCGATAACATTGAACCAGACACATAACATTAATTAACCGTACAACAAAGTTATTTTCACGTGGCCGAATGAGAAATTGCTAATTAAATCGTCTGTGAATAAAAATTGAATACTTTATCATTGATTAATAGTTAATTTAAAGAAACAATAAAAAATAAAAAATTTGGATTTTAAAAAAAATAACATGTGGCAAATTTTTCTTAAAATTCATTTTATTTTATTCTATTTAATAGATTATTTGATATCAAAGAAAACTCTCAAGCAATTTATCGGTGAAAGTTTGAGTCTTGAAAATGTAATTTTTTCTTGACCTTAAACTACATCAAGTGGATAATGGAATTGATCCATTTGTATTAATCAATCCCAATATAAAATACCAAAAAATTAATAAAGACCATTTCTACTAACAAATGAATATTTAAAAATCAAATTTTGGTAGGGAAAAAATTTAACCAAAAATTGATTATATTTTCAAGTCACCTTTTATATGAACTTGTTTCACAACTAACAGTGTCATTTTATTTCTTATAATTTTGTATATCCGCCTAAATGCCAATTTAGTCATTAAAATAAAGTGCTATTATACTCATCGAAAATACTACACCACATGTCAAAACACACTTTGAACAAAATAAAAACAGAATATTAAATAAGATTTTAAACTTCATAAACACTAGAGAAACCTTCTTCATTATGACCCCTCTTCAAAACACATGTCAAAACAGACTTTGTACAAAATGAAATATAAAAAAAGAATATTAAGTAATATTTCAAACTTCACATACACTAGGGAAGCCTTCTTCATACGTGATCCAATTTGAGGAGAATAATAGACTAAATTAATTTTGTGTTTGTTAGTTAACCTTCCTATTGCTGGTTAGTTAAGACAGTTAAATTATTAATTAAGTTGTTAAGTCATTCTCACACTAATGCTAATGATGCTTAAGTATCTTATTATCACACATTTGTAATCCTCATTCTGATAATAGAAGAATTCATTCATTCACGTTCCATTTTGAATTCTTCAATTAACTTTCAATGCTAAAAGTAATAATTTTAATCAAGTAATTAAATATAATGAATAATACAAATAAATGTAATGATGAAAGTAAAAACTTTAATTAAGTAATTAAAATATAAATAAATAATATAAATTAATATAATTGCTTACTAATTTGTCATGTTGGATGCGAAATCATCATTCTATTAAATTATTTGTTATCAAAGACAATCCTCGAGCGTTAAGCTATTGGCGAAGGTTTAGATCTTGAAAATATGAATTTTTTTCTTATTTTAAATGAAACCCACATAAGTAAACAGTGAAATTGATCCCTTTGTATTAATCGGTCACAAAATAAAATACAAAAACTTTCAAAAAAAAAAAAAATTAATAAAGATCATTTATGCTAACAAATGAAACCGTGGATACTTGAAAAATATTAAAATTTAAGTAGAAAACATATATATGAGAATCAAATTTTATAGGATAAAATATTGGGTTAAATATATTTTTGGTTCTCATAAATATTGTAGATTTTGTTTTTAGTCCTTCTAAATATTTCTTTTTAAAAATAGTCTCTCTAAAATTTTCACCTACACAATTGGTCCCTAATGTTAAATGAGACTAACGGAAGGTGACGTGATTGTACACGTGTATATTTAAATTCATTTTTTATTTTATTCTAATTAAAATATGTTATTTGATATATTACATGGTATATAGCCAAAAAGAATCTGATTTATAATTGACATTACAGATTTCGTTTTTAACATAGTCGTTATCTTCTTCATCGTTGTTGTCTCCTTCATCCATTGCAGATCCACCTCCTTATTTGTTTCATCTCGTCTTTTATATTCAAATGGATTATTTGAAGTCAAGCTCATTGAAAGGCGTATCGTTATCATCTTCTTCTGTAAAATCTCGAGCTGGCCATTTATGTGGTTGCTAGGACCGAATGGTGTCGTACCAATGCAAGAAGGGGTCAAATAATGGAAGACTATTTTGGAGATGTCCATTTTAGAAGAGTGATGAGACGTGTGATTTATTCATATGGGATGAAGATATTGTAGATAAATCGGAAAATCAAGATGAGAGTATGTTCAAGTCAGAGCTTGAAGCTATGTAAGCAATGGGATATTTGAAACTGTTGTATGAAGATACAAAGAAGAAAAACAAAAATTTGAAGACCAAACTCAAAACAGAAGAATTTTCTGGAAAAATGAAAATGTTGTGATTTGTAATTTCCTTGATGTTTAATGTCTATTTTGTTTTGAAATGTAATTGTTGATGAATGTTTATCAGTATTATATCTTTGGTTAATGTATGTTTGGTTAGTTGGTAATGTATCAGTAATGTTTTGTGTGAGAATGTATCAGTTATTTCTTTTTGGTTAAAGTATCTTTAGTTAATGTTATAATGTTGAAGTAATGTATCTTTGGTTAATGAATCTTTGGCACAATTGTTACTATTTTCAAACCATAAATTTGAGGACAATATTTCATAACAGACTTTGAGGACAATAGATAAGTTTGGTATTCCAAAACAAAAGAGTCCATACATTTGATATTACATTAAGATTGTTGTCCAAAACAAAATAGTACATAATGAACTTGGCCAAAACAAAAGAGTATATAATGAACTAAAAACAACATATTTCATAGCATAAACTCACTGAGTCAAGCTCTTCTCAATGTCATTCCAAGACTTCTTTCCCTTTGCACTGCCAACATTTATGTCTTCTTCAGGAATCACAAGTGGATCCTCAGCATGCTTCCCAGGTCCCTGAATGTCACTATTTCCATCTGGTTCCCTTCTCTTGAGTTTTTTTGTCCTTCCTGGACCCTCTTGTAAAGTAGTGGAAAATGTATGGACCAATAGTCTTGGGCCATTTTTTTAATCCATTTATGAGTGTCACAACCTCGTTATAGCATTTCAAGTAGGCATTTCTATGATAGCGCATATTCACATACTTGATAGTGTTATCAATTTTCTTATGGATGGCAGACACATCATGTCTACATGGGATCCCAACCAGGTTCCAAAAGTTACATGAACAACTTTCTTTTGCTAAATCTACAACAAAACTTTATGTGAACATCATATGTGTCACCTGAAAGGTCAGCCTACCTGCATATGTTGGCAACCAGCTTGCACTTTTTTCTTTCTCCTAAGTGGTTTAGACATTATATCACTGTTGTAGTTTTCTACCTTTTCCATAAGTGTTGCAAACCTACCTATAAGGTAGTTCCTCATCCACTCAAACATGGTTATAACGGGTTTGTATCTTTGCATTAGTATAGTGGAATTGAATGATTCACTAAGGTTATTTATTAGAACATCACACTTAGAGTAGAATGGAAAGGCATGCTTACACCATTTATGTTTTGGAATGACATTTAACCACTAAAAAGCATCTAAGCTCACCTCCTTAATTCGCATCATCTTTGCATCTTGTGCTTCATAGTAGATAGCCTTGGATGCAACCATCATGAGATCTCTGAATAATGTCTCACCTCCAAACTTCTTTTTGAAGTTAGCATATAAGTGTCTTAAACAGAACCTGTGCTTATATGCAGAGTATTCCTCCTTAAAAACCTGCACAAGCCCCTGCACATAATAACATACCATTTCACAATTATTATGAAGCATATGAAACATCAATAACCATAGAAAAAGTGTCAAAGAATAAACAGTTATGCATACCTTTTATTGATCATACATAAAGCACCACCTAGTATCATCAATATATTCAATAAATAGTTTCATGAACCAGCTCCAAGTTTCCTTAGATTCCGTCTCTACAACCCCAAAAACAATTGGCATATATTGATCATTGGCATCCCTTCCAACAAAAATCAATAGAATTCCATCATATTTGTTCTTTAGGTGACAAACATCTAATCCTATGAATGGTTTACATGCACGAGTCAATGCCTTTTTTGTCCCATCAAAACACATGTAACATTTTTCAAATCTTGGTTGCAACTCAGATCTTGGTCTGCCAATGTTTAACTTGAATATGTTTTTGTTGTACCCCAAAACTTTCCCTCCTATTTTCTTCAAGACATTCTCATGAGGTTCCCATTTGCTCAAAACTACTCAAGAGTTAACTGGCCAAAACCACCTCCTAAGCAAGGGTCTTCAACTAGAGTTTGGTGCTTCTCAAAGAAGATTGGTTTGAAAAGGTCTCAAATGATTTTCATGTTTCATCATCGTTCCTCAATAATGCTTATGTCAAGTTTCAAGCCTTGCATCACAAGTTTGCTCAATCAACTGCTCAGATGACTGAAAATCAACTATATTGGACAAAAAGTCAATTGTGGTCAATATACAGTTAAACTTCAATATTTTTTGTCAACATCAATATTTTGAGGTGATATTCATCATTTGATCAAGGTTTGATCATGATTCTTTAAGAAAAGCCCTCAAATCATCAAAGGTCAAAAAATTGTCAAATTAGGTTTTTACTGAAGATGACTGATCATTGACTTTTTGACTAGTGCATGACCTAATGGATTAAAGTATGATCTTAAGGACACAAATACAACATCTTGAACTAATTTCATAGCTCAAGACATTTCCAAAGATGCAAGTTATTGATAGTTGAGAAATTGAATCAATTGATGAAAAGTCAACAATCACACAAAAGTCAAACTTTGACTTTTTGGTCAAACATTGGAATTCAAAAATCAAGAATCATCAAAATATTCAAAACTATCAAACTTTGTCACCAAGAATCAAGAAAGTCAACAAAAGTCAAAAGTCAAGATTTTCAAACACTTAGAAAAAATTCAAGTGTTTTGTACCTAAAAAACCCTAACTTCACAAGCAATTTTCCTCAAGATACAAGTTGATTCAAAGAAAACTTTCAACATAAAAGTTGTAGGGATTGATGAATTCTACAACTTTGTTAATGTGGGGTGGTCCTCAAAAATGCTTAATTTAAGAGATATAAGCCCATGAAGTTATGATGTTTTTTATCCAACATTTAGAAAAAATTTCAACAAGTTTTGGTAAGTTTTTCATCTCAACTTCTTGGCCAATTTCCACCAAGTCCCCATTTGATTTAGCCAAAACTCACAACATGAAAGTTGTAGACAATGTTTCAATCTTTCCAAAATGTCCAAGAACACAAATTTATCATGCTTGAGCTAGAAGTTTCGAAGAGATGAAGATGACATTTCAAACTTGAATTATAGGTCATTCTTGTGATGAACTCATGACCAAATCTCATAACCATGCTGCATAATCTCACTTTGCATGCCTCTAAACCTCCAAATCTATCCATAATCATAAGATTGCACACACTTTTGAGCCATTATCCAAGTGATTCAAGCATTATCCAATCCCAATTTCCCATTTTTGGCACAAAGTTAACATTGCCATTTTGATAAAGCATGCTTTATGCAAAGTCCACTCTCCTTGAGCCTCTCAATTGTTTCTTCTGCACACACACAATTTCAAAGCAATAAGAAACCACCTACAACCAGTAAAGCACCCCTAAAATCAGTTCATGCTCACATTGGAACCATAACTCTCATGTATCTTCACTTGCAATCCAACCAAACCATAACTTGCTATCTTACAAATTTGGTTGTTTCCACCTCCCAAACCTCTTGCCTATAAATAAAGAGGCCATTTTCAAGCCATGGCATGATTGTAGAAGCCCTAAAACACTCTCAAACTCAGAATCACTTAGAAAACTCCATTGTTGCACATTTGAAGTTTCCAACACCCAACTTCAAATCCACTCGTGCATTTTCTCTTTTTATCATTCAAATATCATCTACACATCATATATAACAAATCTAAACACCTGTTACACTTCCATAACACCATCTTCATCATCCTCTAAACTCCATGTCTAAAGCTTGCACATTGACTCGGTTGGAGATATTTAGACACTTTTAGCACAAAGTAAGGATTGGAATAACTTCAGAGAGGTCCAAGGAAGCTTAATCAATCATTTACTTGCACTTGGAAGCCTCCATACGCATTCTGAATTTTCAATTCAAGAGGTAAGTTTCTCCAACTTTGAACTCCTTATACACGCATAATTTTCTTTCAATTTCAAAAGATAAAATGTAGATATGATTGCCCTGAAACTAACCATGTCCTTAGTTTTCATTTATGTTGACTATGTGATGAGAATTTTGAAATTGAAGTTTCTGAAATATTAGGTTTCAGTTTGGTACCAAGCAAAATTTGTTTCAGTCTTTAACTTATAGCTTTCAAAAGATACATGGTTGAATTCATGGTGAAATTTAGAATAACTTTCATGTTTACATTTTTTAAAATGATTGAGAATTGAAGGAGCTAGAAATTTGAACAATGTTGTTGTTATTGCTGGCGCGAGGAAGAAGATGAAGTTCATCTTCCAATTTTTGAAAATGAGTTTATAATATATTTATTGGTGGTTGTTTCATAATCGGATGAAACAACCACCCTAGTGGCAAGCGTGTCTGTGTGTAAGGCGTTAGTGTGTCAGGGCAGGGGTTCGATCCCTGCCTCTGGCATTTCATTTTCTAACATTTCTCTTGCAGATCCCATGCTATGTAATCTAGCGTGCAATGATGCAACCTCATATCTTGGCCATTAGATCTCATCAAAGGAAGATCTAATGCACCAAAACGCAAGCCTATGGTGCACTCTCAGAAATTATCCACACATGATCCAGCACAGCGCCTGGACTCTCCTCTGTTTGGGCCTTTTATTTTTGCTTCTTCTCACCCCCCATTTCACTTATGTTGCAAGCCCATTTTACTTTTTTTTTTGTTTTAATTAACATTTTCTTTTTTTTAATCAGTTTTATTTTAATAAAAAAATCATATAATCATAAAAAATTAGATTTAGGTTTTTTAATTAATTAATTTAATTTTTGTTAAATAAAAATTAATTTAATTTAATCACTTTAATTTTATTTTATTAATTAATTAGAATTAGTTTTTATAGTTCATTTATTTTTTCTAAACAAAAAACACAAAAATATTTTCTAAATACTTAGAATTCTTTAGGT